CATTGTTATGTGCCGGACGTTGATAGGCCTGCTTAGCCACATAATGCGGCTGGGATTGTCTCTCGTTAGCGGCCTTGTCGTCCGTTTGGATGACCAAGTTCGCTCGATTCAGAATGGCCTGGAATGTGGTATAGTCGTACTCATTACCGAGTGTCGACCGCAATCCCGCGCACGATCGCGAGAAGAACTCGGATCGTTGATTTGGAAACGTCAAGTCGAAGCCTCGTGTGGTCACTATCTTTTGCCACTTCGTTGTCCATTCTCGAGTTGGCATGTTCCCCTGAGAGCATGTGTACACCTCATTCATGGCCGCCTTCACGACGTTGCGGACCATGAACCGGGTGAACCATAGCTGCTCGAACTCCTTCCACGTGATGTGCGTGTGGAGTTCGGCGATGGTGCACTTGTGGGTGGCCGGCAGGTGGTTCATCCACGCCTTTGCTCCTCCAATCAGTTGCAAATAGAGTGCCTTCAACATGTCGTTCGCCGGGACAGTGCGGCATGACGCTTCCGTGAGGAAACGTTGCCACCATGTCAAAGCGTCCGACTTGTTGTAGTCGTCGAACTTGCAGATGTCGAAGTGCGGCATCTTGAACGTCTTTGCAGCGGCGTCCGGTCTCGTCTGTAGCTTGGTGATGTCCGTCTTGAGGGCGGCCACCGTGCTGCTGATCGTGTCCGGTCCGTTGAAAACACCTATGTCGCCGATGATGGTGACGACGTGATCGATGCGTTCGTTGATTTGCTTCGGCGCGTCCGTCGTGCAGCCTGGCCCTGCTGAGCCCTTGGCCTCAATGCCGTTGATGTGTGCGATGGTAGAGTTCATCAGCTGTTGCTGTTGCTGCTGCTGCATTGCTGCGTCGCGGACGTCGGCCGTTATAGCGGCCAGGTCTTGCTGGTACTGCTGTCTTTGCTGTCGTTCCGCGTGCAGGTGTGCCTGCAGTAGTTTGTTGTTCCACATTACTCCTCTCATTACGTTCAACATCATGGTAGCCAGGTTACTTTTCTCTGCCTCCGCCTGTGTCGGTTCCGCCTGCGTTCTGTAGGCACTGATGCTCACTGATGCTCACTATTAATCAGGGACTCCGTGCTGGCGGCATTCCGTCTGTTTCGTGCCGCTTCGTCAGTCTCAGCTCTCCGCTGAGCTTCGGCTGCCGCCTCATTGGCCAGCCGCTGACGTTCTGCCTCTGCCGCAGCCTACTGAGCCTCGACGGTGGCTACGGCGTCTGTAAATGCCTGTAGCCACCCACGATAGTCAGCCCAAGGCTCGCTGGCCTGTCGGACCGGGCATGTGGGAAGATCTCCGGTGGTGTCTTGTACTGTCAACGCCGTACTTGATGCCGCTGGAGTCGTTCGTCTGCTGAATCTCTTGGGTCTTGGAGGTACCGCAGAGCGGGCACGAACTGCGATCCTGGCACTGCGCCGTGGCAGTGCCACGGTGTCCTGTTCCATCGACATCAGTCTGAACACATGCGGTACTTGAGAGGTGCCGGTGTTCACAGACTACAGGGGGGTAGGTAGAGTGGGAACAGGGGTAGAACAATCAAGCAATATACATACAATCCCCTGGCTTACTGATGGACTGTAGACACCTAATCAAACAGGAAAAAGATAAATTTCCCATAAACCCTTCGAAAAATTCGTAAGAAGGAATTAATTAGGATTTAATCAAGAAAATTAATTAATGATAATTAACGAAATAAATCCGAATGATAATCAGTAAAACAATGTTTGTAATAAAGATAACCAATTAATGATAATCAGTAAAACAATGTTTGTAATAAAGATAACCAATTAATAAACGAATTTGAAAGGTATTATGATTAGGTCTCTTTGAGATCACTTTGAGTCCGGGAGTTCACCATTACTGAGTGAACTACCTGGAAGTTGCAGTTTGAGGGTCAGATACGGCTTAGTGTGCTAAAAAATTTTCGAAAAATTTCAGAAGAAAAATCGCTCGAAATTTTCAAAAACGCGAATTGTCGGGAATTTCCACCGTCAAAATCCGATTTTTTAAAAGGCTAAACCTATTTTCGGAATTTCTCAAACAAGGAGAACGAAAAAAAAATTCGTGAAAATTTCAGTCCCAACCCTAATTTTCCGCGTTTCGGCGAAATTTTCGGATTTACGGTCCCAAAACATTCGGATTTCCCCAAGTTGATCTAAAACCCAAAGATTCTCGTAACCCTAATTTCCAATACTGAAAGACCTCGGAAAACCAAAAGACAACGAAATATAGGATTTACAGCAAAAATGCGGAAAAACGGAATGCTGAATGGACATCAGAAACGCCGAATTTCAACATGATACTGATTCAACCCTAATTCATGTATCATCAGAAATCTGAAACTTAATCAATTATCGGATTAGTATTACTCAATCAGAACTCAAATAGCAGCATGCTGGAAGAAAACAGAAATCCGAATTATAAGTCCGAATACCGAATTGAACGGAAAACGCCGAACTAAATAGAATACCGAAAAAGGAAAAAAAAAAAATTTGCAACTTTGAACTCGATAGTAATTCAGCGCTGATTGGGAAGATTGAAGAACAATCTAATTCCTAACCAGACTTACCTTTGTGAGCAGATCCGTTTTATGGTCTGCTCCGATACCAAAACTGTTACATACTCCAATGAGTATGGGCAGAACCAAGAATCAACCAATGTAGGATGAGTATAGATGCAACGGAAGTCTGATAAACGGACTGACTCACATAGACTGACTCACATAGCATCACTCCACACACATTCAATCATGAGATGGTGGGGTCTGAGCCATACATAGAAGATGCTCAGCCC